TGTTGGAGACTGGACGGTAGTTGTTAAGAATTGCTGGATCCAAGGACGGTTTCTTCAGGAGGGGTCTCACCACCGGCGCCGTCAGCTTAATTAATGGCTTAACAGAGGTACAGCAGCATTTGGAACATAACTTTCTCAGCTGATCTTGCATTATAGGAGTTGGTTGGTTTCTCTCTGAGTAATACAGGCTCATACATTGGGATAAGCTGCACAGAAAGATGGCCAGAAGATCCAAGGTGAGGGCGGGGAATAGTTTTGATTGCATTCTTGATGTTAGAATAAGCAACATCCAATGTATTCCCACCTCTGGTTGAAAAAGTATGTTTGAGTTGGGACTAATATTTCTAACACTTTGTTCTTGAGCACAAGCTGTCCTCAGAGCTCTGTCCTAAGTCTACTGTTGCTCACCCTGCTGACCCCTGACTGTTGTGAGAGGTTTGCTATAAACCATATTGTGCAGTATGTGGATGATTCAACAACTGGGCCTTATTCAGGATGATAATGAGGCTGATTACTGGGAGGAGGTAGAGGGCTTGATGAACTGCTATAATAAAAACTGCCTGGTTTTAAATGTAGTTTTCATTGTTGATTCAGTAAAGGAATCTGTATTAACAATTCAATTATGGAGGTGGTTAGTAATACAAATTTTTTAGGTGCGCAGCTGGTGAACAGGTTAGCTTGGTTCAGTGGTGGGTTGCAGATTCCAACTGGTTGGAATGGGCTTGCCGGTGTCCACGTGGACGCGCGCATGCGTCTTGGCACTTCTGCGAGTCTCCGCGACCCTCCAGCTGATCAGCGGTGCTATACGCTATGTGCACATGCGCGGAAGTGCTGAAGACGTACTGGAATGCTATTCAATGCTCCGGGCTGGCTCCACTACACCCGTACCGGGGCATACCGCCTGCAACCCACCACTGGCTTGGTTGTTCAATAGTGAGACATTGGTGAAGTGGGCACAGCAGCACCTGCATTTTCTGTATTGTATGAGAAGAGCACATCTTCCTTCCCCTGTCCTTACCACTTTGTATAGAGGGATGATTGAAAGGATCCTGTCATATTGTATTACTGTAGTTTGGAAGTATTACTGTTTCAGACAGGAAGGCTATACAGAGAATGGTGAGGACAGCAGAAAAGATTATTGGAAGTTCACTTCCTTCTACCCAGGACATAGCATATAAGTGCTGCTTGACCAGGGTCCACAATATTGTCAGGGACGCTACACATAGTCTCCATGACCGGTTGTTATTTTGTTACATTTTGGGAAAAGGCTTTGTGGTATCTGAAGCAGAACAACCAGATTCTGTAATAGCTTTGTACCATATAGTATCAACATTGTTAACTCTGAAGACTATTTTTCCTGCTATGTGATTATGTATGTGTATATATTTAATAAATACATACACATATAGCATATGTATGTATATTTGTGTACATGTACCGGTATGTTTATGGTTATATATATATATGTGTGTGTGTGTTATTTATATATATATATATATATATATATATGTATGTATGTATGTATGTATGTATGTATGTATGTATGTATGTATGTTTTCTGAGGTTTTCG